TATATATATATGTATATGTATACATACACACATACACGCACACACACACACACACACACACACATACACGCACACACACACATACATACACGCACACACACACACACACATATATATATATATATATGTAATGATTATAATGTGTAACTTTCGCGTCGTCGGCCAGACGCGCCCTTGACCGCAAAAGTCTCTGAGTTGACAGTGCGTCATCAGAATCTATCACGCCATATATTAGTAGTGCGTCTGATTTCAAGTCCATTTCCACACATAGGGAGCGCACTTAGACGGCAGCGAGGCAACGACAACGAAACTATGCTGACCGCGTTACAGGTACGTGATGCAACACATTGACACGTCGCACTTTCAGTGGTTTGATTGCACCTGAACCATTAAGGTGTTGGTTCAATTCTGACCGTTTTTTTTTCTGAGCAAAGCAACAGTCTATCGAAACGCGCAGCCCAATGTGTGACGTGTTTGTGCTTCTACCGTACAGCCGACTCATCCGCTCCTGCATCACCAAAATGATCTAACGTCAACGACAAAGCCCTATACTCAATCTCACTTATGACCTCAAACGCGTTCACCTTCTTCCTTCGCATAGACCCTGACAACCGTGTTGCAAGCACCCAGTTATATGTGCAAAGACGTAGACCGTGATGTGGACGGTGGGCAGGCGTGGGCTGGATCGCACGCGACCTTTGACCGTACCATTGCATCGGGCTCTCGCCGTGTAGCCAGACGTCAACACACCACAGCGCATGAGTCATTGTTTACCATGCGTAAAATGCAGAGTGTCCGCAGGTAGCTAGGGCAGTGAGTATCATAGGACTACCTCGTATGGGTTCGTTGGTTGTGCGTTATGGTTTACTTGAGTTGCTATTTATTGTGACAATATGCTAGTGCACGGTGTGAGTAGGTAGGGCTGTGGGTGTCATAGGACTTCCTCGTATGAGTTTCTTGATTCTACGTTGTGGGTTACTTGAGTTGCTATTTATTATGATAATGTGTTAATGCATAGTGTGAGTAGGTAGGGCTGTGGGTGCCATAGGACTACCTCGTATGGGTTCGATGATTCCACGTTGTGGGTTACTTGAGGTGTTATTTATTGTGATAATGTGTCAATGCACAGTGTGAGTAGGCGAGGCTGTAGGTGCCATAGTACTACCTCGTATGAGTTTGCTGATTCTACGTTGTGGTTACTTGAGTTGCTAGTTAGTGTGTTAATGCACAGTGCCCGCAGGTAAGATTCATAGCTGTATATTCTTATTCGTAGGCGCTTCGTAGCTGCAGATTATGTGTTACATAAGTCGCTGTTCCCCTCAGTCGATCTTTACTGAGCCTATAGAGATTTGGGATCGCTCGGGTTTTTCCGTTGGTTGTAGCGCTTTCTTCCCATCTGGTATAACTGATAGTGGTAGTGGGTGGATCCATTGCTATTAAATACATGGCAGGAGTCGGTGGTTACCATAAAAACTATACATAGCATCCGCTGCCTATTCCTATAGTTCGTATGGATCTGCTGCCTGTAGTGTCCAGCTACCTTTGTGTTTCGGAGTTTAAGGTTTACGCACTACAGATTTGTCAACCTCGTTTTTCGACCTGCTTGCCGGTGCGTGTGTCTCTGCCCTGAACGTCACTTGTGTGCAGTGCATGGCCATGTGAATTCGTGCACTTTAGGCTGAAGCCATCGTTTGTGGCATGGATCAGCATTGCATTGCTTTTTGTTCACTACAACACCCTTCGCTTTCTGAGGCACCGGAGCCTTAGGCGATATCCACACCTTCTCTCTGCTCTGATTTGGCAAGGCATCCCTTGATCGGCATATCTTGTGCCGATGTGTATGATGCATCCTCACAACTTCTTTTATCCCACAGACGTGTGAGCAACTTCGCTCTGGCATCAAAGTCCAAGTCGGATGTGGATACGCTTGTGAATGACAGCGGGGTGCCTGAAGCCACAGGCACAGATCAAGGACGGTGAGTATTGAACCTAAGTTTTTATCGGTGCAGATATCTGACGGTGGATTGCGTTCAATAAGTTTTCGTTGGTTTTGTGTAGACCTGCCCCAATAGTGTCCGTGCTGATGCTTGCTTGTTTCCCATTGGGCCATCTCGGTGGTCAAGCAGGAGAAGGGTCGCCTCACTTCCTGGTGTGCAAGTTGGCGATGGTACAGCCAGCACCACACATGGAACTCACCTAGAGACCAGAGAGGCGGGTATATATGAACCGGGTCATGCCAGTATAGGTACAGCAAGTGGCGGTGACCAGGGTAACCATGGCAACCTATCTATGTCCAGTAATGGTGCCGGATATGCACAGTACGATGCAGCCGCAGAGTTGAATAATAGTAAGAGTGCGTTTCCGAGTAGCAGTAGTACAACCGCGGCTAAGGGCGTTCAATCACACAGCTTGGCAATGAACCCTGAAACTACGCTCAGTCCGCTCGAAGGAGACGGCAACACTCAGACACTTGCACAGTCAAGCGAGAGGCAGACGAGTACTCTCCCCAGCAATCGGCACACCGCAGGCGGCTGTGTGCCTCCTCGTCGAAAGTCGGACGGTGTTGATATGAAAGCCATAGTGAACCAAGTGCTGGCCAATGGCAACAACGTGTCTTTCGATGTGATTGCAGGTGATGCAGGGGCTCGTGTATCAGAGACGGAGTTGCCAGGCTCAGGAGGTGCTGAGCTTAATAAAGGTGCAAAGAAGGCACCGAATGTCGAAGGTGGGATGCCACAGCTGCAGGAAACGCGCTCGGTGCGATACAAGCAGTCTGGCAAACCGCTACTGCAACACGCACTCAAGAATGCGGCCCAGGAGAAGTTGGCTGTGCCAGCGTATGAACATACAGTGATTGCAATGAATGCTCAGCAAATGGCCGAGTTAGAGATGGTTCAGAGGGATACGGAACGAACCCGAGAGCCCTTGTCGGCCTCTCTGTCTTCATTTGTAGACAAAAATGCTACCGGCATAGCTCAGAAGTTTCGTGATAGTGTACGGCGTCGCCACGGGACACCGGCACAGGGTACCGATAGATTGCCAAAGGGGTTGGATGATTTGGAGTCGAGTATGGGAGTGGAAATGACTACAGCGGTCTCTGGAGGGGACATGCTTAATGATGAGAGTGGGAGTGTGGCGAAAATTGACGCTGAGATAGTGAACTCAATACCACAGCTCCACACTAAACTGAAGAACAAAGGCGATGGTTAGAGATTGAAACACTGCTAGTATTACCGCCTGATCTTTGGATATCTCATGTATTGGCAGCTTTGTTTTTTAAAGGCTGAAGTATCACTATGATCCATTCCGATATGAGTCCCCACAGATCATAATTGTGAATTTTTACAAATGTCTGCACCTTTGATTTTGTTCATTTAACAGGTTGAGGTATTAAAATCAAAACATTACAATGTGAAAATTCTGCTAGCTGTACTATTATGGCAACGGTGGAGATTTCATTGATTGCCAGATCTCCTACATCCAGGAATGATAAGCAAACAACCTGAAGTTAGACCTGTGTATCTTAGCAACACGGTCGAATCTACTGATTTTCTAGCGTCCTGTATTGAGTTTTTCTTCCACTTGGTAGCGGGGAATGATAAGCCAGAGGGATGGTGCTTAGGTCTAGTATTGGGGTTCTGCTTACACTCGCTAACATGGGATGATAGATCCAAGGGATAATGCTTTGATCTAGACCGGCTATCAGCATGTTTCCAGGTATACAATTTTTATAAGAGAAAACCTTATATATACCTCATCATTGAGTCGCTTCAACGTGAGTATTAGATTGTAGACTTACAAATGTGGATTACCCTTCCTCGCTCTCTTAAATCACATCGCAAACTGAAGATGTGTTCTAGAAATGAGCATCCTCTGAGCTTCACAGGGGAATTCGACAAGCAAGTTGGTGACTAGCCATAGAAGCCCAAATATAGCCTTTATACCGCTATGGTGCTAACCAGGCTGATCGGTACATGGTTGTGCTGTAGTCCTCTGCGCAACTGCTTGGTATTATATCCCGAATCAATCACTACTGTGACGTTTAAATCGCAGATGAATGCGGAAAAGTGTGCGAGAAGTGTGATTGCACTCCACATTCCGACAGTCGACCTCTTCAAAACTCGGAACCAGTTGATTTAAACTGACCGGGGCGTCTTTTCACCCAGACATAATTGTTAGCTAAGCATTTGGCCCGTGAATCGCGTCCCGTAGTAGAGTTTGATTGAGAGCCAACTAGTCATACCCGATAGCAGAACAGGATGGAATTAATCGAGTTGTGCGATCTACGGTTGTAGATCAGCCTATAGCTACTTCAATCGGGGAGAATCGCCATAGGCTTGCGTGAAAGAAACATTTACAGAGTTGAAGACGCGTTCGATTGTTAAATAAGCCGCTTGAAAATGATAGACAGTACTCATCAGTTGTTTTTTTATTTTAGAAAGAAGGTATTTTTATTTTTGTCGAAACGCCGATGAATTTATTAGTTTTAGAATATAGCGTTCAGTATATTACGCAAATATCATTGGCACTCAATGTTTTAGCGGTCTTCTTATTGGTTTTTCATTGGCGTTTAAACCCCGCGAAAAGCCACCCTACGATGTATAAATGTGAATACATTGACGGTTGAACCTACGTACTCTCTCTGCTAGTAGTTGAGGAGGCAGCTAGAGAATATATATTCATTCATCCGTAGGGTATTCTATATGAGGGAAACCAGTGTACAGACTAGAAACAACTGTACATGTTACACCATACAGATAAATACATAACAAATGAGGATTGTACTTGGTTCCACATCTAAGAGCCGGAATGAACTCTTCAAGCTCGCTCTCCCGGAGGGTGTGCACCTCATCGATGGTAAGGAATGTGTGAACATATGCGTAATATAAGGCTGGATTTTTCTCTTGATTAGCCCCGGGGTTAGCTTTGTATGCAATATACACAGGGGAGAAAGCTCAGATACCGAAGATTCGTTATGTATAGCGTATACGTGTATGTCGTTCTGTGTCTATGAAGCAAATATGTAATATTTCCGTATTGCATCATATTCAGAATTGTATATATCGATTTATATTGTATGTGTGATCCTACCGTTGAAGTAGATTATCGCATACCTCTACTTGAATTCCTCAACTTGAATCTAATACGAGTGTGCTTTGCTTATACCTACTATCTAGAGCGCCTCAATCCTGACATCGACGAGAAAGCGATTAGGCACACTGATCCACATAAACTAGTCTTGGCTATCGCGAACGCTAAGGCTGATGTCATCGAGGCTCAAGCCAAACCACTGGCGGATATGATGGTAACCGCAGACTCGGTGAGTGAGTGTAAACATATGTAATACTAAACACGCACAACTTCTATAGTGATGGTACTACGGTAAGCCTTTATAGTCTCCCATAGCCGTTTAAATGTAGAGCTAACAATAGTGATAGTACTACGGTAAGGGTTGGCAGCTCTGTTATATCCTCCCATAGCTTATACCCTAGTCACAAGACCCGTCGCCAGCCAGTCGTGAGATGTCATGGTTGGTAGTAGTCGAAGACCGACCGCGCATAGCGCAATCATGGATCAATCAAGTGGTCTTATCCGGCAATACGAAAAAAACTTAGTTTGTCTCATGTTGACGAGAGTGCCTTTCATGTTCCCGAACTGGGTTACTAATTGATTAGCTGCATCATTGATAGTTGTGTTTAGCTCATTTATATGCGTATGAGGTTCTTATCGTTCTGCAATCGATCTCAAGTTGCAGTCCCCATTTATCCATCAACGACACTTATGTTTTCGCATGTGCTCACAATTGCTCTATCGTCATTCCCGCAAGGTCATACGAAGGCACAACCGACAATAGCGCGAATCACAATACAACCGTGCAATGTCGCACTCGTGGTGTGTCTGACCTGCTCTCAAGTAGCTGTTCTATCTCTTGTACGGGCCTCGACAACCTGCACCGCCACAACATTCGACGGCTGACAAATGCCTGCGAATTACTTATTTTCTTGATCCAGGTTATAGTATTCGGAGACGCGATACGAGAGAAGCCCGAGAGTGAAGCCCAGGCCAAAGAGTTTCTGCAGAGCTACGGCAAGACGGGCATCCCGGCGAAGTGTACGACGGGTGTGGTAGTGACTAATTTAAAGAATGGTAAACGCGCCAGTGCCGTGGACGAGTCTTTGCAGGTATTCCCATCAGATTATGCAGCACTCCCTACTGTATACGACACCAGGCGTTTGTGTTCGGATGGTATTGTTGGATGATTTTCTACAGGTATTCCTATAAAGTTATGCGGCACCCCCTACTGAATACGACTCCAGGTGTTTGTGTTCGGATGGTATTGTTGAGTGGTTCTCTGCAGGTATTCCTATCAGATTATGCGTCACTCCCTACCGAATACGACATCAGGTGTTTGTGTTCTCGTGGTACTGTTAGGTGGTTCGTTGCCCTTAGATGGTATACCTCTCTGGGTGTTTAATCGGATATCTTGCTGGTGTAAGCGTGTTGTATAGCTATTGAAGTACTGTATCTTCTCCTAATTGCAGTGGTTCTTACGTTATTTCCATGGTGCCATCTTTACATTGGTATTGGGCTGTGTAGATATAATCAGAACCATCGACGAATCCGATTATATTTTATATTATTGATCATCTTAAGTTTTCTCAATCCTCTTTACGTCGGTCCTACTTCGCCATCATTTGTATTATTTTTGCCTTCACACCTTTTTCACCTCTTCTCGTTGGCAGTATTTTGATGAAATTCCGGACGAAGTAGCGCATCAGATAATTGAAGTGGGCGAGATAATGTTTTGCGCCGGAGGATTTGTTCTGGTATGTCTTTATGGTATTGTATAGTTTCTTTGTGTACATGTGAACGTAAAATAGCAGTGTTCCATGCATCTGGTACGTCGTTGTATATTTTCCTTTCCCATCTATGTAAATATGACATTGTATAACTTTCCCGTGTGCATGTGAATATATCATATCAGTGTTCAATGCATCTGGTATATCTTTGTATATTTTCTATTCTCATCTATGTATATATAATAATGTATAACTTTCACGTGTGCAAGTGAATATAATATATCAGTGTTCCATGCATCTGGTACGTCATCGTATATTTTCCTTTCCCATTCATGTAGATATGACAATATATATCTTTCTCCGTGTATCTGGATATGATATATATGAGTATTCCATACATTCGGTGAATTTCGTTCTTCCGCACATATTATATAGCCCAGCTCCACTATTGCCAACGTCAGCATGTGTCAGTGTGAAGCTGTTCTTTGTTGTCTCCCAGACACGTTTTGGATAATAGTTTTAAGTTTTGGACAAGCTTAGAACCCAGATGTTTGGAATATCACACTTTGTGCACACCAATACCTACACTGACAGAGCCTTTCTCCTACTCGGTGTATATATATGGATGTAGGAGGAACCGCTGATATACCCATACATTGGCAAGCGTGAGGGGGAGGAGGAAGCTGTCAGAGGCATGCCTATTGCGGCGACAAAGAAGCTCATAATAGACACAATCGCAGCAATGTGAGGTACATCCGAGTATGGGATACTTCGCAATCTGCTTTAGTGCGTATCATAACAGTAGCTGTGTCTGGTTTATCGCGAATCAAGTAGTGCATTGCAGACCACTCTTCACGGAAACTTGTCAGAAAGATATCTGAAGTTTATAGTAGAAACATTAGTTAGTCGAGTATATGTAGACATCGATGGATAAATACTAGTCTCTATTCTACGAGACATGTACTACATGCTATTGCCACTCAAAGTTAATAAGGACGCGCATGTTGTAACTTTCTTGCACAAAATGTGAGGAGCGTAGGTCAGGGGTATTTTAAGTCTTTATTGGCTTCACTTTTCATTGATTAAAGCTCTAAGCATATGATTTTAGTCATCATACGCCTTGACATAGCTCTATAAGCTACGCAACAACGAGCATGTCCCACTATTCTTGACTATATAAGCCTTGCTCTGATACAATCACTGGACGTGTGGTTCAAGCCATCGCACATGTGGGGATTCTTTCTTTGGCTTCCCTTTTCATTGATTAAAGCTCTGAGCGTATGATTTTACTCATCATACGACTCGGCATAGCTCCACAAGCTACACACAACAACGAGCATATACCACATTTCTGGCCATATAAGCATTGCTCTGGTAGAAGTACTGAACGTGTGGTTCAAGCCATCCCACGTGTGAGGATTCTGCTACCAGCTGTATTTTCTCTCTTAGTCCTACAACACTATGCTCGAAGTGCTGATGGTCGATCGCCATTCTCCAAAACAACTGCACCTATGATATACATTACAGCAATTGACATCCTAGACTGAGCCAACGTGCAACAGGTATTGGTCTCGCACATATCGGTCTCCTATATCGAGCTGACTTCTTATAAGTAATATATTTAGGCACTGGGCCTAGATATATGTCATCATACGTCTCACTATCATTCTCCGAGCCAAACTGTATAGAGCTTGGTCCGTCTACTCTGCACCGCCACTGACTAGGGACTCTGCCTTGCCGGTATTTAAATCGAACTGTCGAACATCCTTTCTTCGTACCGGCAAAAGTTTACAGCCATTCTTAGGTACGGTTATGATATGGAAAGCGATTGATTCCTCTCCCACGGGCCTGCAAGGTAGTTTGAATAGAACAGTTTCTTTAGTTTAGGAGGTGTAGATTGGGCCGCAGCTATGTTCGTTGTCGACTTTGTCAACTCCGCGCACATAGTTTAAGTTGCTAGGATAGCGTTACTCTGAACCAAACATATGTATACATCGACGACAGCCACAAATGAAACTACCAGCACTCAGAGTCGTTTCCGGCTCAGCATAGATGTATATATGTCCTAGTAAGCTACATATATGAACATAGAGAAAAACTAGGTTTTAATATGCCACATACATGAAGCGGAATTCTATGAAGGTCATGGCTATGATGTATTCCAGCTCAATCTTTGCAAATTGCTGACTGATGCAGTTGCGTGGACCGTTTGAGAAGGGTATGTAAGCCCATCGGTTGTTCTGTGGTTTAACGTAACAATCGATCAGAAACATATATATAACAGGTAGGATCAAATTTGTCAGCGTCCTCATTCCATATTTTCTCATCTCCGTATGGAGTTAGAATAAGAGAGAAATTAGCGTGTTTTCCGATTCCTACAAATGTTGTGCAACCTTTATCTTCCAGAAGCCCAAAACCCCGAGGTTGGCGTATGTGTACACATCAAAGAGCCCAAATTAGCTTATGTGAACATTTATAAAAAACTGCGCATGAGTCCAAGCCTACCTGTGCATAGTATACGCCGATACAAAACATAGTGAATCTGCTAAATCGTAGCCCTTGATAGGTGCTGTGCCCGGAGCGACATGACGAAGGGTGGATGCCGGTGGATATAACCTCAATGTTTCCTGAGATTTGAGGTCATATAGCGCAATGTGGTATGGTGAGAAAAGATGGGATAATTGCACAGAGATAAGTATAGCAATTCGCCTCAACAAGGTACGTGCATACATTAGGGTGCAAACGTACATAAATATTTCACACGTGCCACGACACTTGACATCTAGATTGCTAGGCAAGAGGCAGTGAATATTATACTAAAAGTTGAATTCGTAGGAAGTGTGTAGGTATACTGAAACTAGAGTGCAGAAGACATTTATAAGTTTGTAGGGATTTGTGTATATACTGAGACGACGAGATTGAAATGGTTTGTAAGATCTACCAAAAATACACATTAGAATAGATTTGTTTGTACGTTTGTAGGTATACCGAACCCGAAGTGACTTGTAGAAAGTGACTTGCAAGTTCGACCTAAAGTATAAAACATAATGAATTTGTAGCTATACTGAGGCACAAGGGATTTGCAAGTCTGTGGGTATACCGAATCTGAAGTACTCTGTAAGTATATTGGAAAAGGTGGAATGCTTTACAAAGATTAATACGGCAAGTATTGTATTGCGTTTAGAAGGTATACGTGGAACATCCAATCCGGTTGTATACTCGGGTAGACAACAATACCTTCATAACTGCATCAACCATCTGAAATTTGTCCCAAGTCTCTGAATTCAAAATTGGGTTTGGTCGCATATAGCTCATCCACTTCCGTTATCAGCTTCTCCTGTGGTCATACCAACGCAAGGGATGTATTGATTAATAAGACAGTGTAGGTATATGGCATGCATACCAATACATACGAACGCAACGTATATTTTGACTCAGCCAATACATACGAACGTAATGGATATTTTGACTAATGAGAGAGTAGATATATGGCATAAATACCAAAACACGATTGTGACTGTATGGAAAACATGTCGCTGACGTCTAGTAGGATAACCGTTACGACTGTTCGATACTGTAGCTACATATGCATTCTTCTAACTTCGTGACCGGATCAGATCAGTTCTAATAGTGGCCGGCAAGTCATTGTTCTTACCTGAATATCCTTGTTCTCTCCGAGCAGACGAAGACACCACGCGGTAGTTGCGGCGACGGCATCGTGACCAGCGAACATGAATGTCTGCAACACAATCATATGACTCAATTGAGTACTCGATGGAGAATACTGTACAAAAAGGATCGGAAACGGAAATAGAACCCCCTAGTTGGAATGTTTGATGTGAAAGGCACAGAGGCGTAGTTAGCAGTACAGGTGCATGACAGACTAAGACGCGTGACTTACCTTCATCTGTGAGACGATAGACTCCATATCCAGATCTACGCTCTCACCATTACCGTTTTCTATGGTGTATGATAGTGCAATAGATAAAATATCTTTTCGCTGCTTTATAAGCTGTTGCAGTTTCTCGGTGGAAGGCTCGCTTTCATTCCCATCGCTAAGCACGTCAGCTCCCGCCTCGTTTTTAAGCTTATTACTGGCGGTACTGTGTAGAAATCAAGTTGTTCTAAAGAGAACTTGACGCAAATCTGGAATCATGATTGTAAAGTTTTATGCACAGAATTGAAGGTTAGGTATGGAAACATATACACAAAGAGGTTCAGACAGAATAAAGTCGTTGTGTAGTGAAAATATAGAATCTACACCTAACAACAGGCAACACTGCACAACGGCCAATGTCCCACACCTCAAAATTTCACAACTAGATGCGCGTATGGCCTGCTCTGTAGCTTGCCTATAACTCGGGCTCTGCAGGCCACATTCCCTACTTGTAGGACTGTTCAAACTGGACGTAGAGCCTTCTGTGCGCGCTTGTCTCAGGGTGACGCCCGATTGTTCGGTATTCACATCCTTCGCAGAGGGTCTCATTTTCAATGAATTTCTGCGTACAGTACTGCCGTATTTCGGGTTGACTGGGTGGTGTTGGTGATTGACGAGTGAGTCGAACGAGCCAGAAACCCCTCTAGAGAACGTTGATGAACCGGAATAGGGAGTCGGTCGCTCGGATTCCGAAAACATTATCTTTCCCTTGCTATGACCCAAATTTGTAGACAAACACTCGCTACTTTGGGCGAGAGCAGATGTAGGTGCATACCAACGAGTTGAGGGTAGTCGCGGTGCGTCTCTGTGCAGAGTGGTTTGGCTGAGAGAGTCGCTGGCCATATGTACCAGTACCTCGGGTGCCTCTGTGGTCTTACCCAGTGATCTCCTCATGCCCACCCCCGATAGTTATATGCTCCCGAAACGTGTTTGTGGTGGTCCACGTTTGGTTGGTGTGAGTCTGACGCTGCCTGTGGTATAGGCTGGCAATAGACGTGCTCGTGGCGATCCACCAAATCGGCAGGAATAAGTTGCACGACGACTTATTAACCAGAAGTTGGGATGAATTTGACAGAAGTGGTTCTCAGAATTTTGCATTTTGAGGTCAGTAGAGCAAAGTTTGAACCCAGTGAATGGAATCCTTACAGTCTTCCTGTAAATAGCTCATGTATGTGATACCCAGGATGCTTGCGAGAGTACTGAGTAAAAGATGTGCAGCATACACTCACGCTGAAGAAGAAAAAAATCTAAACCGTAACTGTACGCTTCTGTGTGAAACATGAAACACCCGAAACGCCCCCGAAAAACACCTAAATCCGGATCACGCGAATGTTTAGTGCAATGCGGGCTAGCTGTACTACATGTGTGACGTGCATCGTCCGCTGTCGTATACGTTATATTTCGAGTGGATGACATGTTTAAAACACACTCTGTGATCATACAAATATATCGCCGCTAGTTACTTGAATACATTCAAATAACTGTGTACTTACCACTGAAGATAGTAGGGGGTATGCACATGTGTATACGAAAATTGCCTCACCAGAAGACACAAATGACCTACACACACATACCTCACATCTAAGCACTTTGTCAATCCGAAAGTAAAGTATGCGAGGGCTACAATAAAACACAGACTGCTTACAAAGTAAAGATGTAAAAAAAGGCATACATCGTATCGAAACTCTGACACATAGCTATTACCGTCCCCACTTACCGGCTCATCATAGGCGTACCATTCCTTCAGTAGTTTTGGTATTTAACCACTCAGTACCCATGCTGAAGCCTCAATTGCGATCATAATCAGGCCGATAACAAAGAGGGCTTTTCGTCCGCTGATTGATGTGTCTTGTTGATCACTAGGTGCAAGCTGTGATACTGGCCCGTATTCATGATCGCAACCCTGCTGTGGATGCAGATTGTGAGATTCCGTCGACCATGTCGCCACTATAGCGTCGGTCATACTTCAGGGCTTGATGGCTTTGCTGTCCTCGAATTGATAAACGAGACGACATTATATATCTCTTTACAAATTTTAGTATGTCACTATTTGTCACTATTTTATGTGTCTATGTATGTAGTATGAATGAATAATAGGTACACCAGGAGACCCGAAAACAATGTACACCACATTTAAATATCATCGATAGGACAGCTGACATTTTCATCACCAAAACCTTTGGCTTACATTCAGTATAAAATCCATTTTTTTCAAAACAAAAATGTTACACGCGAAGTTCTATCCGCGGCAAAACATTTTCATAAGCCAATAAAAATCGATATATTTCTTTCTGTTCGATTTTCGGATTTTGTGACGAATCGCAGTTTGAGAATTTTTTAGAGTTTACTGTTTAGAGTTTAGACCTATGTTTTAGAAAAAACCCGTTAGTCTAATAACTGATCACAGTGATCAGTGATAGGCTTCTTGGGTTTTAGGGTTTTGAACAAAAACATACACACAATTCCGTTGACAGCCGTAAAAAAAGAAATGAGTCGATAGTTCCACAATCCAGTATCCACGCCCTGATATTTATAATTTGTTTTTATAAAAACACTTGACGTACGAATGGGATGAGGCTGATTTGTATTAAAAGGTTTTCATTGGTCTTTATCCTGGATACTATGTAGCTGCCAGCCTTGCAGGCTTCCACGGCCACGCCGCTGTTCTGTGTGTTCTCCCCTACCGACACCGGGGCAAACATCATGGAATTTATTGATTATGTATATATTTACTATATAAACTGTACAGTGATTAGCGATCATCTGCACCAAGTAGATGGGTTTTTAGTGTACCGTGTATGTGCAATATGCATATATAATATAAGCTTACTTTGTCATATCACGATTACTGCTTGTGTGAGGGGAGTAGAAGGATAAGTTTATACCGCCGCGACACAAAATGCCGAACGCCTGGCAGAAACCATTCAGCCGCAAGGAATTCCTTGGGCCTGTTGCTCTAAGAGCTTATGCAGCAGAATTCTCCGGCATGTTTTTCTTCCTCTGGGTCACCATCGGAGTTGTTTGTAGCGGCTACTCAGCACTACAGAAGTCGTACAAAATCACATCCGGTGCAGATATTTACGACGCTAATGACTACGCACCATCAGTGTCGTGGGTGCTTACAGTTGCTCTAGCTTTCGGTATGTCGATTATGGTACTGGTATACTCAGTGGCCCATATATCCGGAGGTCACCTCAACCCTGCGGTGACGATGGCCATGATCGTATTCGGCGAAATCAACATATTCCGTGGTTTAATATATATAGTTGTACAAACTTTGGGTGCTACAGTGGGAGTTACCATGGTGGATGCTCTGTGGCCGGAATCTACAACGAATAGCCTAAACTTTGGGCTGAATGGTATAAACTCAGAGCTCAGCATAGCGCAAGCTTTCTTCATGGAGTTTTTTGGCACCGCTCTCGTAGTTTTTGTCATTTTTGGCACAGCAGTGGACCCCAGGTACGGTCTATAGATTGGTGCAGGTATTGACACCGAATATGTTCGTTATGTCGATCTCTAAAAAAGAAAATTGTAGGTAGATATTGGACTGACTTTGTATACGAGGCGATATATACTATGCATATGTTAGCGTAGTTCTTTATTGTGTGGCTGTGTCGCCGATATCCCAATTTTGAGTTTAACTGAATTTATATCGAGACATACTACTTCTGAAAAACACAATCCTATCTGGGAGTCTTAAATTGTATGAGCGTATTTGTGCATCTCTGTTTGTGTACAGAATAACAAGTATTAGACATATAAACACAAAAGTCCATACACCTATTATTAAGGTGAAGCTATGCCGTTCCGAATCATGCAACCACGCATTCACTTCGAAATTTTGCTCTTGTTATTCAGGGGGTCTGAATTTGCTCATCACAACGCTCCTTTGGCCATCGGATTCGCGGTGTTTTTAGCACACATTGTCCTGATACCAATGACTGGATGCGGCATCAACCCAGGTATATAGAAATATGGTTCTCTGAACCTAATTGTATCCGTGAAGTGTCGTTTGAGAGGTGGCAACGAATCGATACTTCTATCAATTGTCTCTCGAACCTCCAAATTGATATCTACTTATTACTTCTCTTTAAAATTGAAATATTCAACAGCTCGTAGCTTTGCCTCTGCCGCTGTCAGTGGTGTGTGGACAGATCAGGTAAATCATTCTCAAATTGATATGAGCACAAAGATTTTTCTCCAATGTTCGAAGCACAACTTGTTTGCGAGTGATAAAAAGCTAGTTTGATAATTTTTCTAATGCTCTATATATGTGGTAAGCTTATCCATTCGTATTCATTCCGTACAGTGGCTTTACTGGGTAGCCCCACTTCTTGGTGGCTCGTTCGGAGCCGCATTCAACTACTTTCCCTTTCAATTCCGAAATAATCCCGACAACAAACACGGTATCATGGCTGAGGGTGCACAAGCCGACCCAGAAGAAGTTATGATGAAGAAATCTAGATCGAAGGTTGTTATGAAATCCGGTACCAAAGAGATAGGTGCGGAACACCTCGTGCCACCTATGCAAACTATAGTGCCACCGGCCGAAAGATATTTGTCTGTTAAGGCGGAAGGTGCCCCCGAGACTCCACATCACTCCGTGGCTATCGACGGGTCTGCAGATTTATAGTATAGTGATCCCTACACTGGTCTGTACCTGCGTTTCTGCTTCTCGAGAGTCAGTTATGTATGTGACAGTTTAATCACATTTTCCAGAGCCGTAGCCAGCGGCGAGATGGTTTTTGAGCTGCCCAGTCCGGCACAGTGGAACAGTACTGTATGGAGAACAAGGGGTCAGGTTGTCTCCGACAAGTACTTCAATTAGTTTCCAAGACACTGTTGCACCTGTGAATAGCTGTATATATAAGGGGAATATTCCAAGTATTCTCCTATCTAACTATATATGGACATTAAGTGTAGAAATACGGATACATTCGTATAGCCATACGCCGAATGCCCACGATAGATACATGCTTTATTATACCATATATACCCTCGTCCAGCAAACGGAAAGCTGCAATAGACAAAAATAAGCCTCAGGTATAGTTGTACAGATATTGTGCACTCACATCTACACGCACAAATACAAACTAGTACACTGTAGGACAATCATACACGTATCTCCACCTATATATAACATGGAAACACAATATATATATATATATATATATATATATATATATATATATATTATATATCTCTATCGTCGTCGTTACGTTACTTACTTAGTTACGTACGTACCG